TTGCGAGAGGCAAACTTTATGTCGCGATGAAAAGCTCTCCAGTTTGAACCAAATCCGCTAGTTTCAGAGAAATAGGTGTCACATAAAACCATCGCTAGAAATACAAGAGATATCGGCATTCATTTAATTCGCTTCGAAATCTGTTTTAGACACTTGGAATTTACAAATCTTTTCTATACTGCTTTCGGAGGAGTCATTGTGAAGTTTAAAAAAACGTATCTGAATAGTCACCCAACTCTATACTGCCACCCTGAAATTGTGAGCGTTTTCTCTTATTTTATTGCATAAATCTTTAAAGAAAGTATTTCCTTGCACTCGGTTTCAACCCAGCCAAGCTCGTAGATAACACCAATTAAAATGGACGACAAGAATTTCAACCAAACTTCAATCTACCACTTCTTCTCGCATAAAGCAAAGAAATAAAATGAATTTGATGCTTGCCATGATGAAACTCAAACTTGGATTGACGAGAGCTTACGCAATAAATTGGCTTTTACTACCTCCTGAGCAATGATGAAAGAAATGAAAGGCCAGCTGTGAATTCACTAGAGGTCGAAATAATCCTAATTTCAAAGGAAAAATTGTGCTGACAAACAGTATGTAATGAAACTAAGTTCTCTAAAGTACCGAATCAATTCGAAGAAGCATCGCCATTGAATCTACCACGCGGTGCTCCAGAAAGTAATCGGTTCTTGTTCAAAAAGTATTCCCATTTTTATTACACCGTGGTTGCTTCTCTAATTGCCGCTGTAATTTGGCTCCAGAAGTTGTCACATGACGACCATTCTTAGACCGCCCTCTTATGACTTTGTTATGGTTTCAGAAGAAAACAAAGAAACAGAAAATTTATGAGGTGGTAATACTTTAAAATATGCAAAGTATTCTGAGAAGCACCTTCTTGACAGGTCAAAGTAATCACGGAACTCTGATCCATCACATGGAAAAGCGCTGTGCTGGCTATATTTTCTGACGAAAACGAACAAAATTGTCGAGCGAATTATCAAGAATGAACTCAAATGCCTAGCGAAGAATAAAAAATATTTCGAACAAAATACAGTTTTGTAGCATATTAATTTTTAACGCGTTTGAATGATTTCGTTGGAGGCTTCCATATCGAATCGCGCCGGGAAATGAAGGACATCCCAGGGAATCCGTTTTGCAGGTGGCTAGCACGGCAACGTGGCTCATAAACAAATTTGAAATCGTCTCCATGAAGTGACTTCCAATTAGTACTCAAACTAAACCCTTATGAAATGACAACACAGGGCGTTAAAAAAAGAAACCCTGTGTTCAAGTGCCCGTTTCTAGAAAAACTGCTTTAAAGGGCTCGAGAAGCAGATTTTGTTTCTATGTCGAGATTTTAACAGATCTTTAACTAAAAAAATTAGATCTCGCGAAAAAGAAAGGGGGATGGACTGGTGCTGAGATAGGACTCGTATTCATTCCATAAAGTTATTGCGGGAATGCAGGACTTTCGAGAAACGAACATATCGAATACCTAGTACAATCTCCCACGCTATTTCCTAGACAAATGGTCCTTTGCAGCCGTAAGGTGCAAGGCCATGGCTCCTGGTGGGGCAAAAATATTCGAAGAAATTTTTGTCATATCTTTCAGTCTCTTCCTTTATTTTATATTATCTTTCGAACTTTTGGCTACTAAAAGGTTCGTCTTCACGAAATGACAAACAAAATCAAAGAAAATAAGGGAACATCGTCCTTTCGTTGTTTTTTTCAGTTTTCGAGTCATTTGCAAGACCCATGCCTCCTTGATTGAAAATTCTGAACGAATCTGGGGACTGGGGAGAGTGCCAAATTTCAGGAGCTCCGGCGAAGAAACTATAGCTCTCGCTTTGTTTCTCCTGCCCCCTAGTCAAAAAATTTCAAGTTACGGCCATGAGGTGTATACTCAATAGCAGAAAAAATAAGTCGTCAAATAAAATTATTTGTTTTGAGCTCAATATATAACAAATCTAAGATGGCCGCTACAGAAAAAAAAAAGTATCGAGGCCCGCGGTCTCGAACGGCCGATCACAAAAGAGTGGAAAAACGAGTGATATTTCAACAAATCCTTCTTTTTATGAGGTGTATGACTCCATGTAGGGACTGTGTATGAGGTGTATGTCTCCACGCAGGGACTGTGTATGAGATGTATGACTCCACGTAAGGACTTTTTATGAGGTATATGAGTTCAAGCAGGATTCCGCTTAAGAATGGAAATCTGGAGAACTCTGTCTGAACTGATAAACTTGTCCTTTTTTTAGTGAGTTACTCCATGTCTAAAGGAAAATTTTCTGCGATCACTGATTCAATCCATTGGTCAGTCAATGGGTCGGTCAATGAATATTACACTGCTGACATTATGAATGTTACAGGTACAATGTCCCACGTCATGAGCAACTCTGTCCCAGTCTCCTCTTCGCCTATGCTGCCACCACACTGTTACCATGTATGCAAATGCAACTATTTCGCTGGTGAGTAGTGGAGAAATACAACTGAAAGACAACGATGGAATCCAAATTCAGTTTTTCTTCTAATAATTCGACCAAAATGATCTGTTTTAAGTGAGTTATTTATGGAAAAGAAATGCCAACTGTTGTTACAAAGTGGACCTGTTGCCTTAGGGAGAGAGTTTAAGAAAGTAACATTTTACTGTATTTGGTGTTAAAAAACTCTAATGGACTGAAACATTTACACATAACGAGGTTCTTAAAATTCATAGAAAACCGTAAACAGTTGAGATAAAGAAATTGGAGGATTAACCGATACGTAAAACAATATTGCGAATGCAGCAGAGAAGAGGAGCGCGAAAAAACTCTTAAAAAATGGAAAACTGTGTATTAAGTTGTGTTGGAGACTGTATTAAGCAATGCCGTTCTCCTCACAATAGAAGCGTGTAATATCCACCATGCGAAAGTATTAACAATTAATTTCTTTTATTAAAGGATATGCCACTTCTTCCTACTACATG